TTATATCTGAAGAGGGTCTAATACAAAGACCGAAACACGTTATATTTTGTTATGGAATTTTATGTAATAGAATGATTTAATGTAATAGAATTTTGATTATTTTTTAATTGTGCGTTAGTATTGACTCTTACATGCCTTGTTTTATATTTGATTTTTATTATTATTAAGAGTCCTTTACAAATATTATTTATTTATGTAGATAAGAAATTTCATTGTTTTTTCTATAAATAACAATTGGATATTTTTTCATGTGACATGGTTGAATTGCGAGCTTAAATTCTTCAAATATACGATTTGCTAATTCCTCCAAAGGTTTTCCTGATTGATGTAATTTTTTTTTTATTTTTTGCATATAATTTTCATACTTGAAACAACTGAAATTATCTAAAGAACCGAAATTGTCTACATCTTTAGTAAGATGAATGAGATTATGGACATTATATGAGAGATACTCTTCACCATAAATATTCCCATAATTCGAAACAAAATACAATAATAATAAATTCGCATAGTCATTGGATGTTACGCACAGTTGTGGATCAATCAGTATTCTTATAGCAACACTAAGACAAAGAAAGTGATCATAACAAATTGGAGATAATATGGACTTCATAACAACAATTCCAGTATAAAGTAGAAACTGACGTAATTCTGTAGCTTTCCATCTGTCAATGTCTTGTATAACTCTAGGTTTTCTTGCAAATTCCAATGGAATATAAGGCTTAATTACCATTAAATAGCGCGAAACAAAATTTACACACTCCTTCGATAATCTAAAATTTTTACTTCCGCTTTGCCATATTTGTAGCAATCGTTTTGTAACACCTAAACAAACTAGATGCATGTAATCGAGAGGAATTTGTGATACCATTTCAATAGGAAGTTTTTCTAAAATTGAATCACCTGTATGATGTTCAGGTTGAGAACGATTTTTAAATGTCTCATCAGTACGAAAAGTATTATGAATTTCTGGAAAGACTACTCTATTATGAACGAAATCACCTTCTTGTGTACATTTGGGACAAGAAAAATATCCTGTATGACTTTTCGTGCATGTAATGAATGCTCTAGCTGGAGCATCGCATAATATTGCACCAATAGCAACTGTATATTTCTTGTCTGAAACAGTTATTTCACTTTGTAACAGAGAAGTAAAATCATTAACGAAATAGGTTAAAAATTCGTTTACATCACTAGGCTTGCATATGCCATGGTATACACCGATAACGAATGGTGATGTGTAAATATTTATTCCTTCTATTGATCCCATAATATGCCAAAATTGACTTGTAGAACTTTTACAAAGTGACAAGCCATCTATATTTATGTTTAATATAATCTCATTTTTCTTTATAAATGTAGAATATATCTGTATGGATCGCTTAAGAGACGAAGAAAGATCAAAATGAATGTAACGACCGTTGGCTACCGACTTAATATGCATGGACACATTTCGTGGCGTTCTAAGTAGAGCTCGAACATCATTAGGTACTTTTAAAAGACTACATTTTTTAAGAATACGAAGTAATTCGTTTGCAGTGCTATGTGGAATGTTATAATTGACAATTAACCTTTGTAAATCCGTCAATAAATTATTTTCATTATTACAATCAGAGATGCAATCGGAGATATTTGTCATTATAAGTGTGTCATTGTTTGATTCAATGTCACTGTTTGATTCAATGTCACTGTTTGATTCAATGTAATTGTTTGATTCAATGTCATTGTTTGATTCCATATATTCCTCATTGCTATTTGTATCAGATTCTACTTCAAATGATAATTCATGAAATCCATTAGAATCGTTAAATAATTTATTATTTGTATAAGACATATTGCTACTTTATGTGCATACCGCTTCTTCAATATTGCATGCTTTATTTGACATAGCTAATTGTAAAAAGTCCGAATTTACATGTAATAAATTTATTTCGCGATTAATTAATTGATTTTTCCGTCTTTTGGATAAATATCGTATGTCCTTCGGCATTATAACGTAACTAAAAAATATATATGTATCTTGATAATGTAACAGATTTAAAAATATATCAATTAAACTTATAATAATATAATGTTATATATTACAATATTTATGAAGTATGTGTTTGATGATTCAGCATACAACTGTTCTATAAATTCAAGATTATCCTTCGTTGCGAAAGTTATAGCATATATAAGGAGTTTAATGCCAAAGAGTACATCATTAAATCCCTTACAGGACTGAACGCGCCTTATATTTGCTATATGATTGCAAAGCCTACATTCTACAATATGCTGCATTTTGTTTCCTGTTTTTTGTCTTTTGTTATTTTTTATATGTTGTCTTTTTGCCTCTTATCCTATGTTTTTCATTTTCTATTGTCCGAGATAAAAATTATGGTGTTGTTTTACAATGTGCTTTTTGTTTCCTGTTGTCTCTTGCTTTTTTGATCAAGAAGGCAAGAGACAAACAGCAAGAAACAGGAAACAAAAAAGCACATTGTAGAAAAACCATTAACGAACTTAAGAAGAAACGAGAAATGGGTGGCAGGAAATATAATTGTCAATAAAATGATTGCAAAGAAGGAAAAAAGCAAGACGTAAAAAGCAAGAAACAGGAAACAAAGAGAGCATTGTAGAATAGGCTTAACAATGAAATATACATATAACCTCAAACTTGTAGACAGATGTATTGTGAAGATTTCATTAAAGATATTTCATTAATATTATATAATTTTTATAAATAAATATTTTATGTGACTTTTTGTAGTATCTTAATGCAATATTAAATTAAAGATGCAAAGATTACCTCGGATAAGAAAAATATTATATCGCTGTTTGTACCGCCTCGTGTTCGTCTGTTCATGGAGAGAG